AGAAGAAATTACAACAATTCTTCAAAAGGCGGGATACCATGTCTGCCCGAGGTTTCAATCATCATTTCTGACAGCTGCCGTTCACCTGGAGGAGAGGGATTGATTGAAGTTATGTAAAGGTATGACCTTTTCTCCCTTATCAATAGTCAAAACCCGTCTAGTATAACTTCAACCTACGTTCTTATTAAATAATAATTTCCAATTACTTCAAATGTATGCCATGAAGAATTGAAGTGTGTAAAGGTTAAATAAGTGTTAAAATCTACACTGTGAGGAGTGTTTTTTAACACACAGTTGTTTTCTATGGTGTCAATCTAACACTTATACTTCACATCTTGCAGCAGGGCGCCCTCTAGGGTTTTAAACGGCTTCACTGATCAGATCCTATAGCAATACTGCCTCAATTAAAACTGCACAGCTTGTCCACTTTGAATTCTGATGTACTGCACATATTTTATTATTCAGAGTAATTTGTTTTATTATTGTTGCACTTAAATGTTTCATATATTTGTATTTCTTAAAATATTAAATTTAACCAAACAATAACATTAAATATCTTTGGGATTTCTTTTTTTTACACGTTCTAACAGCTTTTAAATTAGTTTAAACTGAATTCATCTCATTGTGTTGATACATCATGCACCATTATACACCAAAGCAAATTATTTTAATTTGATTCGGATTGTAATGTTGATTGTGCAATCAAGAGTAAACATAGGATCTTGGCTACATAAGTACACTTATTAGACAAACCAGAGAAAAAATGCCACAAAGTCCCTCAATTTACGTTATGTTTTTAAAATATTACATGTTACTTGTTAGACGCTTTTATCCAAAGCGACTTACATACTCAATACTGTGGGCAATCCCCACAGGAGCAATTTGGGGTGAAGTGTCTTGCCCAGGGACACAACGACATGCTGACTGCAGTGGGGTTTGAACCTGAACACCAACGCACTAATCCACTGCGCCACAGCCTCCCAAAAAAATTATACAAACACGTACACAATCATTCTAAATATTTAGGCAGACAGATTTTAAGACATGTTTTACACAGTCTATACACAGTCTCACAGTTAATATTAAAGTGATCCTTAATCTTTTTTATTATAATTGTTTTGCTACAACAGTGCATTTTAAGCCAAAGCATGAAGTTTTGGCAAACCTAATAAAGTATTTCTGTTGCATTAACATAACCTAGTAGTATTGTTGCTCTTTTGTTGTTTCAATTTAAATTGCAGGAAAAAAACTATCCTGTTGTATAATGATATTCTCACGTAATACCACCAGTGTGCAGCAGGTGTCAGAAATGTAGAAATCTTGCAAGGTTATGCCCATATTGAGTGCAACATAATCTATAGGTCTGTTGTTGCAGATTATTGTCAGAAGAACAAATGACATATTGCCCATGAGGTTTTTAACAAAGTTGTTTTAACATGCAAACTGGTTGTTCTGCATAATGGGTTTGGTAACTTGGTTTCAACTGTTGGCAAAATAATACCCCTCAATTATATCTCATATAGAGATCCATGGGATCCGGTTGAGCTCCATGGGACCTTAAAGTCAAAAAAATAAAAATGTGTCGTAAAACTGTGAAGTAACACTTTTTTTGTGTGAAACCGCTCAATGAACTACATCTCCCGTCTCGCACCACACACCAAGACGGCCATCACGTTGGCACATTTCACCTCTTTCTTTCAGAATGAGGCGAAAAGTATGAAAAGAGGTAAAAATCACTACAAGTCTGGGCATGTTGAGAGTTGTACATACACACAAGGGGAGTTAGTCGGTTCCGTAAGAGCCAGCATGCGGGACCGGGATTCTGGGAGTTGTAGTCTTTCTTGTTACGTATTTTTCATAGTCTTATATTTCAACAGTTTTACGACAAACTGTGACCTTCCGGTGGGACTCATGGGACCTTATTTAGGAAAAAATGTGTATTGAAGTCAATGGAGAGAGAAAGATTATCTTTCGATCCCGTTTGAATTGTGCCACGAATTACACATATGATGTTTGTCAATCTTAAATAATAATTTCCGTGTCAAAAAAGTCACAGTTTGTCGTAAAACTGTTGAAATATAAGACTATGAAAAATACGCAACTAGAAAGACTACAAATCCCAGAATCCCGGTCCCGCATGCTGGCTCTTACGGAACCGACTAACTCCCCTTTTGTGTATGTACAGCTCTCAACATGCCCAGACTTGTAGTGATTTTCACCTCTTTTAATACTTTTCACCTCATTCTGAAAGAAAGAGGTGAAATGTGCCAACGTGACGGCCGTCTTGGTGTGTGGTGCGAGACGGGAGATGTAGTTCATTGAGCGGTTTCACACAAATAAAAGTGTTACTTCACAGTTTTACGACACATTTTTATTTTTTTTACTTGTAAAATGATCTTTTAAATTGACAAACATCATACGTGTAATTCGTGGCACAATTCAAACGGGATCGAAAGATAATCTTTCTCTCTCCATTGACTTCAATGCATAACTTTTCCGAAATAAGGTCCCATGGAGCTCAACCGGAAGGGGAGGGACTTCGCCTCTCTATTGAGATTTCTTGCACTGTCATCTAAACTGACTGAAATTAAATTCCGGGTTACATTCATCCCAGAAGGATATGATTAGTCAGACTACTGTTAATAAGCAAATGTATCAAAACATAAGTTACAGGGCAAGACTAAGTCACTTTTTAATGGCAGAACAAGTGACGATTAAAACTAAAATACTAAATACAAACTACTAGTTAAAAATAAACTACAAAAAGGTTACTGGTGCAGCAATTTTCATCTCTTTAGTCCATCCTTTTTTGTGGAACAGATACAACGAATCATACACCTCCAAATTCAACTATGTCTCTGTAAGCATCTGTTTTTGTTTTGTTTTTTGTTTTTAATTACAATTTTGTTTTCAATAAACTGGCCTTACAGACCATTAAAAAATCCACATCAGCCTCTTTTACAGACATTTCTTGAGTCAATGGCCACAGCACACAGCAAATCAAAAATGACAAAAATCCTTTGTTTCGCTAAAGGAAGTGACTCTACTTCCGGTGGGGTTTTCTTTTCAAAAATAATAGCTGATTCTAGTCGGTCATGAAAAATGACAGACTACTAAATTAAGTATCTTTTGGACTGTTGCTCACATGTTATATGACTAAATGGCAGATTTATTTTTATTGTTTGTTGTAGAATATGTATATATATGGCAACATGCATGTATTAAAATGGAATTGCTTTAAATGGTTGCAATTGTTTGTTAGTAATGTCTTATTTTGGGGTAGATTCTGTAATACCGGCACATTTTATTGTCACAAATAAGTTTCATATATTATCATATAAACATTTGGCTTTAAAGGGGACCTATCATGCAAAATGCACTTTTTGATGTCTTTTATACATAAATATGTGTCCCCGGTGTGTCAGGGAACTCACGCAGCGTCAGAAAATAAAACCCTCTCTCTTTTCCTCCGTACCCAAATCTCTAAAAACGGTGGTACAACGGAGCTGATCCAGATTTGCGGCCGATATGACGTCAAATCGGCGGCGGACCCACAGCACTATCAGAAAGTTGCTATCAGAAACAATGCCCGACTGTTTTGGACGTAATATGGTCGGTGTTTACATTAGCATCGCTAACACTCAGAGCTAACCTGTACTGGAGAGCATGTGTGTGAAGAAGCAGGAAATAAAAAGGAAATCACCTTGTGGTATAACCGGCAAGAGAGAAAGCCGTGTCGAGGAAGGCTCCTCCAGAGCCACTATTTCAAGGATGCCAAGTCATCGAGTCCCGCCGAAGGACTGTTCCAATGTCCAGACCAGGATCCTTGGAATTCTACCGAGGCCGGCATCCTTCGTTGCGGGAGATTTCGAGGCTGCACATGTGTATCCTCCGCGGTCTTAAAATCCCCACAATGCTTTGCGCACGGACCAGAAATCGGGCTCCATTTAAGGCGGGGCCTCGCATATGACGCACACCTGCACAACTGTTAGCCTGTTCCACCATTCTTCGTTTTCCGAGGAAGGATTCTTGCCTAGCTTCTGAAGAACCTGACTCGGAAGACATGTCCTACCAAGGAAGCGTCCTCAACATTGAGTAACACACAGGGTGTTTCTCAATCGCGAGTACGCTTGCTTGGTAGCACATGTCTGCCGAGCATCTTGCTTCAGAAGCGAGTCAAGAATACTTCCTGGCATTCGGAAAACGAAGAGTGGAACACGCTAGCAAGTGTGCAGGTGTGCGTCATATAAGAGGCCCCGCCTTACATCTTCCGCCACAGATTTGGGGAAATTGGTCCGTGCGCAAAGCATTGTGGGGATTTTAAGACCGCGGAGTCTACTCATGTGCAGCCTCGATATTTCTCCAAACGAAGTACGCCGGGCTCGGTAGATTTCCAAGTATGCTGGAGATTGGAACAGTACTTCGGCGGCACTCGATGACGTAGTATGCTTGAAATAGTGGCTCTGAAGCAGCTTTACTCGCGATTGAGAAACACCCCCAGTATCTGCCAGGTCCCGCATGAGCCGGCATAAGCTCCGCCCCCTCTTATTTTTATTTTTTTCAGTTTAAAAAGAAAAAAAAGCTTTATTTTTTTATTTAGCCTTTATTTATACAGGTGAACATCTCATTGAGACACAAGGTCTCATTCTCAAGAGAGACCTGTTGGTTTATACCCAGAATCAGCACTTTTGTAACAGGAAGAGAATTAGAGGGATATGAGGCATGGCTAGAATGGGTGATCTGTTTGGTTTTTTGACCAAAACACTTCATAGACATGTTTATTATATATTTTTTATATATCTGAGACCTATGCTATTGCCTAAAGATAGCATGATAGTTGACCTTTAATGTGTTTTGGCTGTGCACTAGTGTGAGGTGTAATGCAATTCAATTAAACATGACTGACTAAATGCCACTGAATTGAACTGTAATGTGACCTTTCAAAAATGAATTATCAGGTTTTATTTTGAAAACTAAAGTGGGAAGTTGACGTTGGACAGCGGAAGTGTCGCGTGACTGTACTGACTGGGGTCTTCAACACATCTGGTAACAAAGCACATTTTACAAATATCTCCAAAAAATAAGTGTTACGTTAGTTTTTTATGTAGCCAGTTTCTCCTGCATGATGTGTACAATTGTCAGTGAACTTAATAACCGAGCTGGACCGGCACTTTTAGTTTTGTGCTAACTTGACGTTAACGGTCCCCGGCTGGGCATGTCCTGCTGTGTTAACGGTCTGCAGCAGGAATAACGTCTCAACTACTAACACAACAATAGAGGGATGGAAACATGTCGACTGATCATTTTGACGACATTATTTGAAGAAGTCAATGTAAACAGAGGGTGTAGTTTAGTTGATATTTGGTCAAAATACCTTCATGTGGTGGAAGAGGTTAGGCGAGGCGTTGTGCGGTGCTAAGGACTTTAGCTAACTAACACCAACATTTGCTTTTAAATCCGACTTGAGCCTTTCAGACCTTAACAACACGCCCAGTTCATGGTCGTTTTATAAAATGTTGTTATTGTATAAGGTGTGTGACCAGAAGAAGCGGACATATATGATTCGCCGGTGTTTGACAGCGGTCCCTGGCATCTTTGCTGGTTTGTTTACCGTTAGCGTATAGTTGTGGAACAATACGTATGCCTTTCATTAAGAAGTAAAGTTAAATGCTACACAACAAACTAAGCCGTTGTTTTATCCTAAAAGCTACCCCTTATATTGGGAAATAACTGTCACGTGTACCCTACGTGGATTTCTGAGTTTGACAGGAGTTTAAATTTGCGCTTTTAATTTGAAGAATTGTGGCGGAAGGGCGGATGCTGCTTTCTGCGTTCAGCTCGACAGAGGGAGGACATAGTGGATTCCGTTGGGAAGAAGTAGATCATCGCCAGGCAGGTCTCCGGGGGCTCTCTCTCGGTTTTACGTGCAGTATAACGGTGTCACCTCCGGGATGAGTCCACCAAGGTCTGTAAGTCGAAGGTCGTGTTGTTTCTAGTGATGTTATGTAGTCAAACGGAAAGAAATAGCTACAACCTTAACTCCTTTCCTGCCGCTGCTGCCCTTCAGTTTGCCTGGCAAATTAGCTGGCTAGCCCGTTTTTTGACTTGCAGATGGCTTATGTGTGCTCAATCACATTCACCAGCTGCTGTAATCTTACTTCATTTACATTTCTCTTTTCCCTTTCAGCCTCCACGCCTCTGTGGATTTAAATTAGCCTGGAATATGAGCAGAAGACGAAGATAAGCAGCAGCAGCAGCAGCAGCGGCAGCAGCAGCAGCGGCGGCGGCTGGCTTCCTGCAGGATTTCTCCCAGGCTTTTTGTTTTTTCCGTGGACATGCCTGGTCTATGGAGCGAATCTGAGCGGAGCTAGCTGGCCGACAGTCCGACTAGCGCAGCATTTCCAGGCTTTTGGATGATTGTTTAACTGAGGAGCTGATTTATTTCTGGATCAGCCCTACCTCCCCTGTAAGGACTCAGCATGGGGGAGTCCAGCCTGGACGATGCCAATGTCAAGGTGGCTGTTCGTGTACGGCCCATGAACAGGAGAGGTGAGTGGGCTTCAGTATGCTGTGATTTGGATTGTTATTGGTGCTTTTACCCTCAAAGTGATGCCATGGAGAGACTGCATCTGTCTTCATTATCTGGGATCCGGTTGACATGAGATATATATATATATATATATATATACGGTATACCTTGAGGCTATGCATATACTTAATGTCAACATAGTATTATGAATATACCAAAATTAGATGAACATTATTGGTTATAGATTATCTTAGGTTTATCTAATGCATAGCTATAAACACACTGCATTTCACAACAACATTAGGACACTGGATTCACTTACATACCCACTGTTTAATTTCCCTGAGAAAGTAATGCCAGTCAGATATCACCACCCATTAGATAAATGAGCTTCTGTAGATTAAAAAAAGATGTGGTCTGGATGGCACATGTTTGTACAGTGCTGCCATAGGGCCTTCCTTATGGCTGCCTGCCATCCAGCAAGATTTAAGGCTGAGCTGCTGTGTGAGATCATCTGTTACAGAGTGTACACACTTTGGCTTCTTCTTCGCTGGCTGATACAGATGCCAATAGCTTCTTGACTTCATCTGTCACTTGCTGCAACAATGGGACAAGTCAGATGTTTTTACAGAAGAGCTGTGGATTGGTACTCAATGAGGGCAACAGAAGTATGTCAGAAAAACATCAGTGCAAAGTACCATTTACTAGAAATGAGGTTACTCTGTGATGTTTTATCTGAGAGGCCCCTATCCTCACTGTTTCACTTACATTATAGCAACACGCATGCATCTTCATTCGAATAATCTTCCCTGGGCGGCTATATGTCCACACATTGTTACATCCTAATTTTAGAGAAACCTGGTTAACAAAGGCACAGTGTTCCACAAATCTGCCTGCAAATGCTCCCGTCCATTATATTGCAAATACCCAGTGCAGCATGCATTAAAGGGCGGATGACCTTTCCTGGTTGATTGCCAAGCTGTGTTTTTGCCTTGGGAGACCATGTGTCCCATGAAAGAAGGAGGAGGAGGAGAGCTGCTAAGTTGAGTTGAGTGACAACTAGTAGAACATATCACGTGTATCTCTCTCTTTCTTTTTCTCTTTCTCTCTCTGTCCTCCCTATGAGCTGGAGAAGTCGGTCACAAGACCAAGGCAGTGGATCACCGCACACTTCACACAGGCAGGGATTTACTATGAACTGTAAGGGAAACTCGGAGATTAGGATGTTCATTCTTAGTAATGTCATACTGCTTGGCTGAACATTTATTTTGGACACATACATTCCATGTATTTCTGTTTTTGAAAAACCAAACATTGGGTAATTTACCCATCAAGGTTGTGGTTATTTAGATGGTGATACAGAGAGGCTACACGTTGGCTCTTGTGGAATTCAGCCTCAGATCAGTTGCATTTAATCCTCTTTCACACATAGTTCCTGGTCAATTACTGGGATAACCTTTCAGGCATCTCATTTTACTACATTCAGGGCAGTTTCTGTCTTTCGCTAGAAGACAGACATTTTTCTTTGTGTCGATGTAAGAATAAGATGCGGCAAGGCAGGCCAGATGTATGTGTACGAGGTGGAAGACATCTTATAATTTTCAGGAACATGGCAAGCGGGGAATCTTTTTTCAAAACAAAAAATAAGCTTGTTTGCAAACCAAATAACCTTTATTGCTTGTTAGTTTTTTAATTTACCATTGAAAGCATTTATGTAAACTGTAAACAACTCATGGAAATGGGGATGTGACCTCCCTTCAATTACAATATTGAAATAGTTTGTTAATGTTTTTGGTGTTGCTTTGTTCTAACAAATCATATCTTAATTAATGTCGATCACTGAAACAGCGTGTAAGACTTATTTTTCTTTGTCCGACAGCGGTATTTGTGTTTATATATATGAGATTTCCTTCTGGTCTCTGATTGGTTGAACCCACATTTGATAAACCCTAACATATGGGGTTTTCTCTCTATAGTCGGCAGGTGTCAGTGCCATGCAGATCACTGGAACAAAAACACATACCAAACACCAGCAGTATGTTAATAACACCCAAAACACATATTACTCATATTAACACAAAAACAAAACTACAGACTAAGTTACCCATATATATAGATTAAAATATGTGATCAGTGGACTTCTTTTAGCTTGCTCCATTTGAAAATGTCTTATGATAGACACTATGTTGTACTTGCAAGTGCTTTAATTTGCATAAATCATGCCATATTGGCATTTTTGCTGAACTGTGACAAGGTCTTGAGGTGGGAAAATGAAGGTTTGAAGGAAATGTTCCTTATATTTCAGCGATAGATTGCAAATGTAAATGAGGCTTCTTAAGATTTACTGTCGATTAATTATTCTCGCTACTTCTCAATTATTGTTGAGTTCTGTTCGCAATGGGCCCCTGTCCACTTCCCACTGTCAGTGTGCACTCATTTAGTCGGTCAAAATTCTCTTCATCTTACTTGACAAACGAGGAGATGACAAACCACTAGAGGTACTCGACTGAAGTGCCACTTCCTCTTTTCTGTTATTGTTTATTTTAAAATGTAAAATATTGCACTAATAAAAGCTGCACAGCTTGCACAATTTCAAACATGCAAAACATGTTCTGCTACCATTGTAAGCAAATTCCTGCAGGTATCCAGTACTGCTTAGTAAGGGAAAGTAAATATGAATTGGGTAAAGGGGAACGAGAAGGCACACTAAAGTTTAGAGTGAGCTGTGCCATGTTTCCAGTATTAAGAGTTCTGATCCCTGTCTGAATGGAGCTTCTGTCCATAACTACCCTTGTTAATGTGAGGCTTTTATGATTGCAGATAGCCCCCAAACAACATATTATCTCCGAGAGAGGACACAGAGTTTTTCCATCAAATGTTAGTTTAGTGGATCCTAACCGCCTCTAAAGAAATTGCTCTGCATTTCCTTCGCTAAAACATAATTTGCTCTTCAGTGTCTCCTGCCAGACATTTGCTTCACTTGCAGTTAAGGGAAGGCAAAGCAATACACATTCTATCTCCTCACTCTATTTTGCCCAGCTGGTGCTATGAATCAGACCTGTTGCTTTGAAATAATAACCCGGTTTCTTTAACCTGGATGGCACTGTCCCTGTGGCTCCCAGGTTGAGGAGGAGAGGTGCTGTAGCAGCAGCCCAGCTGGACAAAGGCAGGAAGGGAGTGAGTCTGAATGAATATTTGCTAACATTGCGTAATGCTCCATGTTCCCATGGCTGTGGCCTTCGAAGAACAGAGCAACCCCAAGCATAGCAACGGCAACACTGCGGCCAATAGGCTTCCTGGCTGATGTGCCAAACCTCAGCACCGGTAGCTTAGGCTAGGACCTCAGAGAAAAAGCCAGCGGAAAGAGGGAGTTGGTAATGGAGCAAGAAGAGGCAGATAACAATGAGTACATTTATCCTCATAACGCATCACACTTTCCCCTCAGCTAACCAGGAAGTAAAGATGCAGCAGTAAGAGCACATAGGTAATGAGGGAGCAGCAGGAAAAGACAGAACGTTCATCCTTTCTATTGCCTTATTTCCACTGCAACTCGCTTTTGGTACCCAGTCTTTCTCTCTATTTTCTCTTTCACTGCAGGAAATACCCCCTAAGTATAGGAGGGATTCTCTGATGATCTCATAGTGGGATTTCTCAGTTTTGCTACAATTTGCGCGGAGTGAAAAAAAGCAGCTGTCGTCATTATTATTGGACTAACATTGGCTATTTAAGAAATGACTGTTTTGTGTAGGATTTCCTGTTTCCCGCTCTTCCCCAATCAGAGGGTCTGCTGTGTGTGGACTCCACCTTCTAGTATCAGCTCAGCCCTCTTGGACCCTTGCCCAAACTTTATATTGCACTATCGCTCTCACTGTGGTTTTGTACCTTACTTAGATCACCCTGCTATTTTGCTTTGTAGTTTCCCCGACAGCAGAAGAATCAGATGGTGATTCAGCACCTCTGACCTTTGACACCAAGTTTCAATGGCTCTACCCCCGTGTTCCTGCCAGAAACAGCAGTGAGGCTCTCTAAACACTTCTAATCCCCAATGTTTCTGGTTTTCACTGGCATAGCTAGCTTCTTATCTGATATATACCTCCTCCGGTTGGGATTCCCTTTTTCTCATGGCAGGAAACCATAGCAGGGGAGTCAGAGTAGTGTCCTTGAGAAGACACTTGTAGAAAGAATACCACAAATGTGAAGTGACTTGTGTTTTCTTTTTGCAAACTACCATTACAGTCAGATAAAAGGGTCATTTGCATATGTTTGTTTTGAAAACACAACCAAGCTAAATATTATGTGTTTAAAACACACACAGCCTGCTGACAACCAACAACACAGTTGAAAACACTCTTTGCAAGGTAAATTGGGCAGGTATTGCCAGGTAAGCTACCTTGAGTTGCTACATGGTAAAGTCATCGCACAATAACAAAAGGTTTATGTGAAATTAACTTTTCACTTTGGTGTAATCTCGTACCATTTCTTGATCAAGAACATAATGGCACCGCTGCTGACTTAATCATGAAACTGTTTGTGCTCACCCCTCCTTTAGAGAAGTCTTACCTTGGTTAGGAAAAGCAACTGAAGGCATAACTTCCATAAAAGGACACAGTTTAGTACTGCTTTAGAAAGTTCTTGTAGGAGAAAGGAATTGAAACCACAGAATGATTTCCCTGTCTTAACAGATTTGCTGACGTTTTAAACTAGTTGCAGGCTCTTGCATGCTTGCTGTATAATGGAGGCATGATTGTGTCTTCTAGCATTCTGTATGTAAATACTGGACCAAATTATGATAGTCAATACACACTGATAAGATTACAAGTAAGCTAATGGTTCCTTTTTAAAGGGCTAGTTGAGCGGCATGGATGCTTGTTTACATGGGAGTCTTGAACCAGGCCTTACATTTGAAGGACATGATTTATTATCTGTAAGACTCTGTGCTGAAGAGTCCTTGAACAAACACTGATTTGCAAATAGAGGAGTGCTGTTCTTGCCTTGACCTCTGACCTCCCTGTTGAAGGGGGCAACATAGAAGAGGAGCAACCCATGGGGGGCAAATAATCCCACCCCTATCTTATCAGGTTAAATGGCATGAATTTGTCATTGAGTTTTGTGGCTTGCTTTGACAAACAAGCGTCCTGATTGCAGAGCAACTCATGTTGGTGACCTTATCCTGTATTATAGATTAGCCTACAGGCCAAGATAAAGACTGTTTTCATGATTACTCACATTATGTCACATTGATATTTAAAACAATAAAGTATGCCAGCATCTGTGGCCCAAACGTTAACCAGCAGTAAAAGACTGGTATTATTCTACCAGTGAATGTGTCTACTCTGCAAGAAACCACAGTCAAATGCCTTTTTTTAAATGTTTTAAATGCCAGTTCTTTCAAAACCTGGATGCCCAGGACATGCTGGCAGCACCTAGCCTGTGGACAACCCTCCTTACCTCTCATTGGCAAGAAAGATGAATGGAGAGACTGACTAGCCTCGTGAATTTACAGTGCGGTTCATGCTGTTATTTTCCAACACTTCTGCTAGTTACTTTCACAGCAAGGCTTCTATTAGAAGGTTGAAGGACCGACTCAGCTTTGAAAACAAACATCATATGTAGCACTTGTGACTAAAAAGAGATCAGATATATACTCTGTAGCGCAGTCCTTGCATTTGTAGGACAAATTACTTTATTGTTTGACAGGACAGAGAAATAGTAGTTGGCAAAACTACAACAATGACCAAGTTTTCTTTTGCTGCCTTAAACTGAGAATTGGTGTGTGTGTGTGTGTGTGTGTGTGTGTGTGTGTGTGTGTGTGTGTGTGTGTGTGTGTGTGTGTGTGTGTGTGTGTGTGTGTGTGTGTGTGTGTGTGTGTGTGTGTGTGTGTGTGTGTGTGTGTGTGTGTGTGTGTGTGTGTGTGTGTGTGGTGTGTGTGTGTGTGTGTGTGTGTGTGTTGTGTGTGTGTGTGTGTGTGTGTGTGTGTGTGTGTGTGTGTGTGTGTGTGTGTGTGTGTGTGTGTGTTGTGTGTGTGTGTGTGTGTGTGTGTGTGTGTGTGTGTGTGTGTGTGTGTGTGTGTGTGTGTGTGTGTGTGTGTGTGTGTGTGTGTGTGTGTGTGTGTGTGTGTGTGTGTGTGTGTGTGTGTGTGTGTGTGTGTGTGTGTGTGTGTGTGTGTGTGTGTGTGTGTGTGTGTGTGAAGATCAAGCTGGTTTACAGGTCAAAGTTTACAAGGTGGCTTGTACGTTTCTTCAGTTGTAATATTTCGATGACAACAGAATTATGATGTCATTGTTACACCTTTATATCCTATTTTGTCATTAAAAAGAGCTGTAGGTGACAGATAGACTTACAACTTGAAAATGAGTGTTGAAACAATCGAGATTAACTGTAGAAACCTGTAGTTGTGTGCTGTGGTGGTAACTCTCTGTTCTTTTTTGATCCACAGAAAAGGAATTAAACACTAAATGTATTGTGGAGATGGAAAATAACCAAACAATACTCCATCCGGGCGGAGCTAACCTGGGCAAAGCAGACTCCAGGTACGTTTCAGTAGCTTGACTACAACCTGACAATGATTCACATCATACATGTCTTATTTAACACGTTATTGTCTATAAATGTACAAACATGTTTTATTCATAAGGTAAAGTGTATTGTAGTTGACATCTTATGCAGCACTGATCAAGAAAATAATACTGAGAGATGTGAGGTACTGATACTTTGAGGTGACAGGATCACGCAGGTGTTCTGAAATCAATGGCAAGCTAGTAACTGCAGTTTCTCCCTCTAATAACACACACAGCACATGGAGGCAACCAAAGAACCCTTTTCAAGCTGCTGCAATGATCTGAAAGGGGTCCCATTATGCTGTTTGGAGTATTTTCTTTCCTGTACTGTGACATTTTAGTGCATGTAAATGGTCTGCAAAGGCTAAAATCCCAAAGGTCCCTCCAGAGGGAGTTTCTCTCCCACACACTCCCCCCCCCCCCCTGCCTGAAACACCCTCATTGGACCCCTTTGTTTACTTCTGTAAGTGACATCACTATGTAACACTCGCACTTCTATTGGCTAGCTCTCCAACAAATTGTACTTGATAGGCTAACAACATCTCTAAGCGGTTGACCAATCACAACAGAGCCGGCCAGCTAACCAATCAGAGCAGCCTGGGCTCTGGTTTCAGACAGAGGGTGAAAAGAGGTGCTGCAGCACAGACAGTATGAGCAAAATAAAGAGCCTTTTGAACATTTAAGCATGGAGACATGTCACAGTAGAGGCACAAAATACATGAGGATAATAGGGCCCCTTTTCAAATGTTATCTCTCCTCTGAGTCATAACTGAAATCTGAGAACACTGTCATGGTGCACATATTTATAGAATCATTGGAGCTTTCTGAGGATATTATTAGCTCCATCATCCCTTTTTATCTTCCATCTCAAATCAAGAACTTGCCGGAGAATCACATTTTTAAGATTTCTCTAGTGCTGATCCATGAATCCAGGGATAGTTGTCTGTGCATGGGTATATTGCAATCAGGGACTGCTTGTGGCTATATATATATATATATATATATATATATATATATATATATATACTAATTCTGCATACTTTCAATTGTGAAAATTGTAGCATGTACTCTCCAACTTCCTTTTTATTGCTCTCACACAGATCATCATTTTTTACAGCTGTTATATATTTATTTGATCCTTACTGTGCTGTGAGCAATGTTCATTACCTTGGGAATTGTCTTGTTTCCTATTTCCTGATTGCTACTTTTGAGAAGCTTGTCTCAGATTGGTTTGGAATGTTCCTTTGTCGACGCAATGTCGTTTTTGGCAGGAAGCTGAAAAACCAGCTGTTTCCCCGTTAGAGACAGGTGTAATTCAACTCAAACCACTTGACTTACTCCCCTTTGGATGTTGCTCCGATTCAGCCCTGTTAACCAGCTGCTGTCGGTGGGAAATGCTGTGGGGAGTGTTGAGTGTCTCTCAGGCATTAGGACGGATTAGATTTGGCCTGACAACGGAGAACAGAAATGTGTGTTGGGGTGTCTGAGTGATGGAATGCTGCTGTAGGATCAGACCCAGCAGAAATGTTTCAAATATAACACCCGGCGGACCAACTGTGAACTGTTAATCACTTCATCTGTAATGAAACAGCTGTAATAATTACAGCTGTTCAAAACACTTCAAAGTCAGCCAGTAGGCCACACTTGATCACCGACCCGCCATCTTGGAGGAAGCCAGCTGGGTCGTAAAGAAAGATCTCCTTGTGACCGGCGGGGCTGACTGCAGACTGCCAGATCAGAAGCAGTGAATAAGGCTGGCCCGTAGACTGTATAAAGCAGGGCCGGCCTCAGCCTGAGGTGCCCAGCAGTCAACAGCAGCATGTGTCTCTGTGTGTGTGTGCGTGTGCGTGTGCGTGTGTCAGAGGTGCCTCCGCCTGGAAGAAAGATGGCAGTGGCGAGACGGAGGCGGACAGAGACAATTACACATGAAAAGAAAGACTCCATTGCGCTCCCGTCCTCCTTCACTTTGCCGGGTCGTAACTCCCAGCACCCTGGCTTCCTCCCTTTTTCTCAGCTCTTCCGTTTCCGTGGCAACACAGGGGGAGGTTAACTCCGGGTCGCCGCCAGTGACCGTGGAGCCCCTTCCTCGAGTGGGTAGACGATTGAAGCGGGGGGGGAAAAACCCTGGTTTACTCAAGCATCTGTCGACCATAAACTTTCCCGGTGACTTTTATGGAGGACAAAACAAGAGCAGAGCTGTAGTCTGTCTCTCCGTCTCTCGGTGACAAAGGAGCGAGGAGGCAGCAGGAGGACGGACTGACTGATGGCTGCCCTCAGCGTGCAGATGCTATTTTTATTTTGTTTGTTTGTTCCCCATGTTCCATATCCATGCTGTTTGTAAAAGCTGAGAGGAAGATATTCCTACAATGCAGAGTGCTTTAAGTGCTTAATAGTTGAGACGGACTGGACCGGGTGTATCAAGGGAGTAAAGTTAGGATGATGCAAGGTGTTTGCTTAGCTGGCTGGATTACCAGGATGTCCTTTGTTTCAATCTTGGGAGATATATCTGCATAGGATAAAGCAAAAACAGAGAGTGAAGCTTCTTGACTGAATCCCAATTTGTTTCTTTATTTTTATCTTCAAAGACCAACTGGGGATTTGCAAGATGATGCCTACATTATACTGACTGGCAAGATGACAGTATTTTCTTCAAAACAACAGAAAACTAGTATGTAATACTTGAGGAATAACGTAGATAGGCAGAAATACAGTGCATAATATTGAATGTTAAATCTCTTGTATTATTAGCTGTTGCCATTTGTAAATATTCTCTTCTATTTTAAATGAACTATGTCTTAAAAAGATCTCTATTTCCTAGAATACCAACAACAAGGTGCTGCATCCTGCGCCACCTCCAAGATGCTTTTGATCAACTTGCCTCCATTCCATTGTCTGGTAGTTCTTTCATCCATCTTCACTTTACTCCATAAATAGCCATTCCTACTGTCCTTGCTAATACAATCTGAACATATCACAACTTTTTGACAAAGATTTCAAAGGGATTTGTTAGCATTAAAGTGCTACAGTGCAGAAAAACGGTGACAATAGAAAAGCACAGTGTGGAACAGAAGATAGACAGGGCATTAGCACTCCAAACAACTCAACTCTGGGAAGGATATCCTGGGTCAGAGGTCATGTGACCCTGCCACATAGATGGAACAGATAATTCTGGCCAACTTTTAGCTGCCACAGCAACCAGCAAGGCGCTGCGAGGCGAATCAAATGCATGCAAGCGCACATTCCTTGTGGATTACTTTGTAATGTGAAAGTTCACCTTGTGAAAGTCACACTTAAAGGTAACAAAGAGATTTCAAGTCCTGTCTCTGAGCAAAACAAGCGCCTGTGCAGTGTTTTGGCATCCAATAAGCCTTTCAAATTCTCATATCTGCCACACGCACAAGTTGGACTTCACTGGATTGGATTTCATTTCAATGTAGCTGCTTGCATTGTTAAATGCTGCCTTTTGTGATGCAGTGAAACCTTTTTCTTCCTCCTCTCCTATGGAACCTTTACCTGCGACATTTATATGCACCTTTTTTAGCCGTAGACTCCTTATCCACAGTCTGACATGATGTTCAGAGCAGCCAAGGATTAGTCCTGTAGATGAAAGCTTTTCTGTTTCTCTCGGGCTGTGAGTAACAGTTTCCCATCCACATAATTAGTGAAACCCATTGGGGTTCATCTGATATCTATCCACTAAATGGCTCACTGCAGCTCTCAAATAGACCTTTCCTCTGTAGGTGTCGATTGTCTCTGCTGTAGAGCCTACTCCTGAATAGTGAGTGGACTCTGGCTAGCTGCATGCACTACAGATTTCCATCAGCATCGATCAGATTTTTTGTTTTGGAGTTTTTGGACATATAGTGCCACATCTAAGCTATTTTCCCTTCCTTTTTTAAACTATACTTACAAATAGACTGTGTAATTATAAGAGGGTTAAAACGTTGTCTAATTGGCTTTTGAAAACGAATTTAAATTAAATAATATTGGCCAGTGTTTGAAGGATGTGCATTAAAAGGGTAGAAAACGTTCAAAGTCATGCATTAGTGAGGTTTAACTTAACATCCTGCTCTGAACATATGCTGTCGGTCTCATGTGGCTCTCTTGCCTTCCTAACTTCACATTCTCTTACTATACTTAGAAACCATTAGACCCTCTTGTTTACTGAGCCATGGGAGAGAAAATGCCACACATCATTGAGACAAGGCCATGTACAGGACTGTTTAAACAGACTTGAACAACCCTGACACACAATAGACCTTGTCCACCCAGTGTGTCTGCCTATTCATTGCCTCTCTACCACATGCTGTTACATTATCATTTAGCCTAAGCAGTAGGACAAGAATATTTGAAATGATTTGAAATGGAAGATATAAGGGATGATGGAGCTAATAATATCCTCAGAAAGTTATAATGATTCTAAAAATATGTGCAACATGACAGTGTTCTCAGATTTCAGTTATGACTCAGAGAAGAAATAACATTTGAAAAGGGGCCCTATTATCCTCATTTCCAGGTTCATATTTATATGTAGTGTCTCTCCAGGGACATGTCTCCATGCTTTAATGTTCAAAAAGCTCTTTTATTTGTCTCATACTGCCTGTGTTGCAGTACCTCTTTTCACCCTCTGTCTGAAACCAGAGCCCAGTCTGCTCTGATTGGTTAGCTGGCCGGCTCTGTTGTGATTGGTCAACCTGCTTAGAGATGTCCCGCCCCTTAGCCTATCACGTACAATGTGTTGGAGCGCTATCCAATAGAATTGTTACAAAGAAATGTCATTCATTATGTTATGGAAGTAAACAAAGAGCAGGGTGCGTACGGGTGCTGGAAATCCTTGAAAATGCTTGAAATTGTACGAGGTGTTTTCAAGGTTTGAAAAGTGCTTGAATTTTGGGAATGGTGCTTGAATTTGGGATAAAGTGCTTGAAATTGTAAATGCTTTACTTCGCTTTTTAGATTAAAAGAAAATAAAG